GGACCATAACCAGACCTGAATACCTTAAGGTCTTACAGCCTTAAGAATCCAGAACATTAATTTATTAAAAGACCTGAAAATTCCAATTTTTTTTTAAATTGTCACCTGTTTGCAAGACTTCAATGCTATCGACTGTTCTGTGGGAATAACTGTATATTCATGATGGCATTTACCAAAAATAAATGATGGTCTCCAGGGAATTGAGATTGGTCTCAGATTTGAGTGACCCTGTGTTCAGTATGCCCAGCAACAAAATGTACAAGAGGTTGACAACTGCGGTGGCTTTGGTCCTCCCGTCTCGATGTATTCACCTATTTTTTTCCCCTCTGGGCCAGAAACTAGGATGTGATTTGTGGGTTTTCAAGGAGGTAGGAGAGACTCAGGAAATCCAGGCCCATCGTGGTGGCTGTGCTATAGCTCATACTGAGGTCATGTGCCCGGTGCAGTGGTGGGCTTTTTGCAGTCCTGGTGTGTTTTGTGGACCTGGAGATGGAGCCCAGGACCTCACGCATTGTAAGCACACTGAGCCACACCTTGGCCCTGTTGGTTCATTAACCTTGTTCTATAGATGAAAATGAGGCCCCAAGAGGCCGGGTCACTTGTCTGGGGCTATATAGCTACCTGTCTGACTCCAAAGCCTGTTTTCCCATGTTGCTCAAACCACCCCTGCCAGAGACTGTCTTCCAAGCCCAGCTGAGGAAGACATGAGCAGCCACAGTGGCGTGCAGCGTCTCAGTGCATGACCCTCTTGTTCAATGATTTACTAAGCACTTAATGTGTGCCAAGTAACAGGAACTGATACGTGTAAGGCTGCCACCCAGAAAGCTCCCACCTTCATCTGCAGATGTGTAACTAGAGAGCACAAGAAGCGGTGTCAGAGGGACGCAAAAAATGCCAAAGAGTGCAGGGCTGTCATTTCGGCAGCCTGATGGGGAATTGGAGTGTTTTATTTGACTTGTGTTTACAATCACGGTATTAGAGGCCAGGAGAGCGAGAGTACACCGATTACACAAAGTGGAAAATGGAAATAGTTGTTCAGCCCACAGGACAACCTGGGCCCCAGGGGGGAGAGACCTGTCCCTAACCTAAGGCCTTTTGCCCTGCACCGCTGCCATGGGAGTAGCCTTTCATGTCACCTGACAGGACTTTGCTGCTGGTTACACCCTCCAGCCCATAGAGGGACAACCCAAATGGCTTTGCAGTTTATTGCTGTGATTGTAACAGGGTTTCTGAGTCCTTGCATCAGGACTGGGTCACTGCTGTACAAATCTAGGCCTGGTGTGCAGGGTCAGGATT